AATTTTCATCTTTCCACTTTAAATAATTGATTATAGAAAATATGTATATATAAAATGTATTTATGAAGAAAACCTGTCAGTAATAGCAGTTCCCGAGACTAAAATTAGTGAAAAGCCTTCTTAATTAATTAAAAACCTCTAATAGAAAAGTTGGCCAGATCTGACCAAACAATGCACTAAAGCCCTCATTACTGAATTGAAGAGTTTTAGAATTGGAAGCCTACACGGAACATAACTAAAATGGTTGATTTTTTTCATAAATGCACCCCTTTGTCCTGTGTTTGAAAAACATTACTCAATATTTAAGTTATTTATGAAAGTTTCAATTTGAAATTAATTTTAAAATGAAATATAGCTTCAAATTCAATTTTTTTGTAAATCTGCCTAAACATAAATGTAGAATATAAATTCACGTTTATGCTCATGCTTTTTAAACAAAACCACAGTTGGGCTACTAAAATCACAAAATATGTACTTACTTGTAGTTACAATCACCTTTGTTCCTGTTCCAAAGATCAGTTTGTTGTAACCAGTATTAGCACAGTGTTAGATGGCAGTTCAAAAATTTAGCAAAGCCACTTACAGGAACTGTACACACTATTGAGTGGCAAGTCATAAAAATTATATGAATGCTTTTCAGGCCCAATAGATGTATTAACATGGTAATTGTGTAAGCAAAAAAAGCATAATGTATCATTATGTTGTTTATGTATAAGTATTACATTCTAAACCTTATAAAACTGCATATAAACAAAGCTTGATGATAAATCAAAATTCCTAATGACATTAAAAAAAATTTGAAGAGTGTGCAGAGAGAGATTCTGCTGAAATGATATCACAAATATTAATAGAAAATTGGATTTGTTGATGTGCCCATTTGTTTGCAAGCAGGAAAAAATAGCATTTTATATTCAGAATCAAAATCAATAAAATCATAATTTTTTTTCTGATAGCCCATTCACACATTTCCTAATCTTGCATGTGAATAGGAAGTTATACTTTATTTGATAATTGGCAGAATTCACTGGTTATACTTTTTACCTGCCTAACAGGCTGCTGAAGAAAGTTATACATTGCTAGAAGTATAAACAGGTGTTTTTAGGGCAAATAGCTCATCACTATATAATGGAGTTTATTTACTAAATGAGCACAGTCTATTCACTTGGCTTAGTAAATAAGATGAATCTATATTCACTTTACGTGCTGCCAAAATCGTTTTTTATTTCCTGTGCACATGGGTTGGTATGCAAAGTAAACACAATATCACTTTATTTATTAACATTCACTTTTTCACAGATGAAGAGACTCTGCTCCTTTAGAAAATGAACCCCAAAATGTTGATATATTTTATATAATACCTACTTGGCTTTACAATGAGTATTGTTCCTGGTCCAAAATGTAGTTTGTTTGTGTTTCCTAGACACAGTGAAATGTGCCTTTACAATAAACTGGTTAGTATACATTTTATTTGACTTAGGATTTCAATTTATTGTATGGTTTCTTCCCAAAAATAAAATCAACATCTCATATGAATATTTTAACATGAATGTCCAAAACATGCCTTGATAGAGAAAGGGGTTATAGGAGATGAATGGGTTGTAATATACTGGAGTCATTTTAACAGTGGCCCTGAGAGCACTGGGCTGATTTACTATAACAATAAATAAAACAATGTGTGAACATTCATTTCAAATATCCAATTATAGGCAGATTAAATAAGTAAACTGTAATCTATGTTTGAAGCAATTGGACAAATGAAGTAAATATTTACAGAATTTATTGTAAATCAGCCTCCATGTGTCCACTTCAACCTTCCTTATCATGTTAAAGATTTCCCTGTGCTTTCAAGGATGTGTCCATGCTGCCTTTAAACAAAGCATGAGTGACCACTTTGTAAATTAAGTGAAAAAATGTAAGGCGTTATAATATTACACATCGTAGACCCATTATTTATTATATGCTCATAAAGTTACATTTTGATTGAGGCTTTTTAAGGCTATAACAGTCACTCATAGACCATTCCTTTTTATTGTCTGTTGGTAAGGATTCTTTACTCTTTCAATAAATTCAGAACCAATGCTATTGTTCATTCACACTTGAGGTATAGAATCTGTTGGGGTTAGACTGAGTTGAAATATCCATGCATACTGAACTTTTCCCTTGGCAAAACAAAAAAAATTGCATAAAGAGTAGCTAAATGGTTAGCACTTCCGACTAGCGGTACTAGAGTCATTGGTTCAAATCCCAATCACAGCACCACCTGCCTGGGGCTTGCATGTTCTCCCTGTGCCTGCGTGGGTTTCCTCCGGGAACTCCAGTTTCCTCCCACACTCCAAAGACATGCTGTAGGTGAATTGGTTCCTGTCTAAATTGGCTCTAGTATGTGTATGTATGGAAGTAAGTTAGGGACCTTAGACTGTACACCCTTTGAGGGTTAGGAACTGATGCAAATGTACTATATATATGTAAAGATATATATGTAAAGCGCTGCATAAATTAATGGCGCTATCAGGGGAGGACTGACAACTCATGGGGCCCCCGGGCATTAGGGGATCATGGGGCCCCTATGTCCTCTCCCACACTCAAACAACACCCAAAAAAAGCCTCTGAAAGGTACCAGGGGCATCTCATGGGGCCCCCTACTGACCCTGGGCCCTCGGGCAGTGCCCAAGTGCTTTAATGGTCAGTCAGCCCCTGGGCGCTATATAAGTACCTGTAATAAATAAATAAACCAGCGTTTAGGACCATTTAGTGTTTTTTCTGCCAAAAAAAGTCTGTTTCTAAATGCTGAGCTTAAAATATAAATAAGCCTCTAAATGCCTTAATGTGCATGTACACCTAGGATGACATTGAGCTGCTTCTGCAGGCAAAACACAAAACTCTGGTAGAAGTATTGTTTTTTAAACCCACTGTGCATGGACCCTAAAAGTTGTATCCTGTACCATTGTAACTATCAAGAGGTTTAATCTATGTATTGTGAATTAGAAAATATCTGTAAAATGTAGAAAAACACCAAATCCTAGAGTACAGTAACAAAAACAACTTGTCTGTTGAATAGCCCACTACAGACTTGTACAAAGAGTAGTTTTCTTAGTAGAATAACTGACCTTCTCTTATAAAGAATACAATAAAAAGCAGTAATCTTCTAAATTGGTTATATATAATCTTCTAAAATACTTATAAGTCTGATATGCTCACATATGTAAGTTACTTACATAGAAAATAAATCACACTTACTTGGTAAAACCTCTAGCTTTGTTCCACTCCCAAAAGTAAGTTTAAGGTTGTTATTGGCACACTGATACATGACACAACAAAAAGATTACTGTTTTATGTACTACTGCCAGCATCCCTCTTCTAGTTATATATGATCTTTGGGGAAAATGTGCTTTATTTTATTCACTGTGCTACATTTTATAGGGCAAATATATACTATTTATTTTAATGTAAACTATGTGACACAGTTTGTAAAACATATGCTTACATTATATATTATTACTTAAGTTTTATACTGCTAGAACATTTTAAGAATCTGTAAATTAGATTCTAAGCTTAATCAGTTGTGTACTGATCCATCATCTTCAGATCAAGGACATTATTTGCTGAAGTTTCTTCAGAACAGCAAATCTGACCTTACTTTATGTATGGAAAGGGGAAATTCACTTTTTTTTTAATTGAATCTATATAATAATCTTGTGGTTTATGGTTTGGAAAGCTTTCAATTAATTACTTCCTACATTTAAAGATATGCAAAAATTAAGCAAGATAATCAATTAGCTGTACATTTCTTAGTGTGCCACAGATAGCTACATTACAGAATTAATTTCTATGTATTAAAAATTTTATATAAAGGTTCAAGCACTTACTTGGTGTAACAGACAAAACTGTTCCTCTTCCAAATATGAGTTTGTTTATATTTACAGTACCACACAGTGACAACCTCATTAACAAAAACCAAATGTACCCATACATCTAGCAACACATGCTTTCCAGGTCTCTTCCTAAACTCACGTTTGTTCCTTTTAATTAATGATAATGTTTTAAATAACACATAAGAGGATTTATTTAATAATGATGCAAAACATTTTCAAACCAAGGGTTCAAATTGTTTAGTGAATAAAGGGGGGCCATGTCCGAATATTGAAATGGGCAAGATTTTGTATTTTAATTTTTAATTTGCCTTGTGCTAAGTGATCGTTCAATAGGTGAACAGTCCCTCTCCGTAAGTAACTTAACCCCACGCGGTCTTATCTGAATTTTGGAAAACAACCTGCTTGCCTCTCCCCATTTGTAAACAGTGTTAAAGTGCATTAAACAATACCTTTTTAATGTTTGGTCCATTATGCTCTGTTAAATCTACAATTGAAAACATTTAGATATATCTGTTCAATGAGTGCAAATGTAAAAAGCTCTTCATTGAACCAGAAAACTTTTCAGCTTATAACTTCTTGTCCTCTCTTCCTCTGTGCACAGTTATCAGTTAGCATTGTTCCCAGCTATCTCTATTGACTATAAAACACCTCAACCTATTTTAGGGAGAGAGGGAGTCCTAGCACACTCCCTTCCTAGGGTGACAATTCTGATTCTCAAGAACAAGAAGTGTGTTCCTGGCAGGATCACCAAGTAAAAATAAAGAAGCAAAAGTGTGAAAAAAGAAAACAAATTCAGTCCCCACATCTATGGAAGCATGCAATAAATTCAGTTTTTGTTCCTGGGTTTTAAATACATGTTAAGATCTCTGTTTTGTGTGATGTCCAACCAGGCAAGGGGCAAAATATAACCAGTTTTTCTTACTACAGAAACTGGCACTAACAATATTTCCAGGAATGCTGGCAAGTATGTGTTAGTTGTCCCTTAGGACCAAAACAAAATAATAAAACAAGCTGGTAGGCTAGTTTAGTACATACATAAGATATATCTATAAGCTTTTTCTGATGGACAATCAGCCACAGTTGTAGTTGCCATTTTGTTTTTTGGCCTCTGTGTGCACAATGATTTCTCTGAAATAAATACTCCCAACCAGGGGCGGACTGACAACTCATGGGGCCCCTGGGCAATAGGGGATCATGGGGCCCCTGTGTCCTCGCCCACACTCAAACTACGCCCAAAAAAGCCTATGAAAGGTACCAGGGACATCTCATGGGGCCCCCTACTGACCCCGGGCCCTCGGGCAGTGCCCGAGTTCCCCAATGGTCAGTCCACCCCTGCTCCCAACATATATGCTGTACCTAAACATTAGGTAAGGTCTGAAATGTCAATGCAAAAAAAAGAAAAATCCAATCAACTATATTGCTTGTAATTTCAAAACTGAATGTGAATCAAATGCGAACAAAGCAACTTACTGGGAATGATAGACAGTCGAGTCCCTGAACCAAAGATGTATTTGTAGTTATTATTATCACAGTAAGAACACCCTTAACAAAAACTACTCTTCTTTCAGTCACAAAATTTCAGAATGCTGGCACTAAGCATGCAGGATGTCTGCAAATAAAGTTGTCCCCAAATGTTTTAAGCAGACTAAGTTAGGTCCATTTTAAAACATATGTAGTGCCAGAGCAAATGTCACTTGAGTGGGAACTGAGATGTCATAATAATTATATATTTGGAAAGAGAAAAGGAGAAAACCACTGCTCTGCCAAAAAAGGACTAACTCAAAGTAGAAAAAGAAGAAAATGAAGTAGCTGCTAATACCTGACTAATAGTGAAGGACAATAAGTGAGAAAAAATGGTGCTGCGCTACTTATGGGTGAAACTAAATCCACAATGACACATTAACTGCTGATAATCACAAAAAAAAAACAAAGTAAAGTGAATACTCCACATACAAGTGCCAAATGTGCACAATAATATCTACAGGAGTGAATCCACAGTGGTGTAACAAGTGGGAATGGCGCGATCACAAAAAGGAGAAACAAATATCAGTGAATAGGTGACACACAAAAAACACTGTCAAAATCAATAAAAAGCGTCATGAAACCATGGCACCAAATAAATGCGGCCAAATGGTGACTAGGGACCATCAAGTGAAGTGAAAAAAAAAAATTATATATATATATATATATATATAAATAATCAAATAGCATATTATATTTGGATCCACAGTTCAAACAATTAACAATAATACCTTATATATGTGAGGTTTTACAATTGTAGGAAAGATATTACTGCTATATTAAGGCTCATAATAAAGTTAGTGTTATTTTGGGTTCATATGAAAGGTGTTCAATGATTTGATGTGCTATACATTTTTTTAAATTAGGAATCCTTGGGACCCCATTGATTTCATAAACCGATTACTGAAAGCCCCTAAACCTTGGGATTTGTTGGACCTCTAGAGCAGCAGTAAGCTAATCTGTGAGTGCCTATGCAGCCTTACTATCTGAGCATGGTTGCTTGTACAACTATGGGTGAGCCCCCTATGCTGGTGGTGCTTGAGCAAATGTTCCCTCCACCTTCTGGGCTGGTTCACACCAGATAAAGTCCAGTGCATTTTTTTCTGCTCCAAAAATGCATGTACAGTGTTTTCCATGTATTCTAATGGTCCCAGTTCACACCAGTGCAGCCAGTTCTAGTCAGTTTCTGGTGCAGAAAATAAGTAGAACATGCTGCATTTTTTTCTACATAGACCTGTACTGGAACACAGAAAATCACACAAAAAATGCACAGGAATGGAGTGTGGTGTGAACTGGAAGAAAAAAATGCATCCGGAGTCTATTTTTGTGATGTGAACTAGCCCTTTAAAAAAAAGCCCAGCAATCAGTTTGCATTATTCATTATTCTATTCTCTAAAAAGTAACTGAATATTGAAATATGATTATTATTATTATACAATAACATGTGAAAAAGGATTATATGTAATTACTGTACGTTTACTTACTTGGAATCACTGTTAGCTTAGTGCCACTGCCAAATATGAGTTTGTAGTTATTCGCAGTAGCCACAGTGCACTACTTCTTAACAAAAATCCATCATATTTGGAAAACAAATAGCATCACTATTCACGTATACAATCACTAGCCACTTTATTAGGTACAGCTTGCTAGTGCCAAGAAAATATCCCCCACACCATTACACCACCACCACCAGCCTGAACCATTAATACAAGGCAGGAGGGATCCATGCTTTCATGTTATTTATGCCAAATTCTGACCCTACCATCTGAATGTCACAGCAACCAGTCTGCCCATTCTCCTTATCCACACAAAACTGCTGCTCACTGGATATTTTCTCTTTTTCGGACCATTCTCTGTAAACCCTAGAGATGGTTGTGCATGAAAATCCCAGTAGATCAGCAGTTTTTTAAATACTCAGACCTGGCACCAAAACCATGCCACGTTCAAAGTCACTTAAATGCTCTTTCTTCCCCATTCTGATGCTCGGTTTGAACTTCAACAAGTCATCTTCACCACATCTAGATGCCTAAATGCATTGAGTTGCAGCCATTGGCTGATTAGCAATTTGTGTTATCAAGCAATGAAACAGTTGTGCCTAATAAAGTGGCCAGTGAGTGTATATTTCAAATGTGTTTGAATTAATAAAGAATTTAACTCCCCTTTGTCCTTTTTTCTATCTTTAGGTAATCAGGAACTCAAATCACAACAACATATGTTATAGTATTTACCATACCCCAACGTTTTTATGCCTAATTTAGTAATTGGAAGGTCGCAACCTCTAACATCCTGATAATCTTTGCCTTTGTTGTCTAATATACAAACTTTGAAGGTCCAATCACATATGGGGAAATTAGAAAAAAATGATTGTGGACATGCTATGGGTGCTGTGGACAAATTCACATTATACCAGTTCTGTAATGTTACATAGAACATGATAATTGATATGTAAATATGTCATTTGATGGAAGACTAATTTCCAGAGAATATTTGTGTGAACATGTGACCCATGATCATTTTAAATAATATAATTGTGTTTTGTCTGCCTATGCATATACTCCTTTTGAGAAATACTGTGTAGAAACAAATACTTACTTGACAAGACAGTAAGCATAGTTCCTTTTCCAAACGTGAGTTTACTTAAACCAGATGTACTCACATTGCTCTGTGTCTTAACAAAAATGCAGGTGCTTTCTTTAATCTAATTACTAAAGCCAATGTTTTAAATGTGAATTTTTTATTATCTTAGGCTTTAACATAAATTCTTTTATATTGTACTTTCACTAATAACAAATAAAAAGGCACATATGGTACTTACGTGGCACCACAGTAAGCATTGTCCCTTTTCCAAATATGAGTTTGTCAACACCAGAACTAGTCACAGTGCTCAATGCCTTAACAAAAATAATGCGGCTGATTTACTAAAGTCATTGAGACTGTTCACACAATACATTATGTGAACATTTACTTCAACTATCCAATTATGTGCAGATGAAATAACGAAACAGTGAATTGGTTTTCACATGACTGGATAATTGAAGTAAATATACACGCAATTTATGATGTGAACATTCCCAATCGCTTTAATAAATTAGCCTTCTTGTTGCTTTCTATCACTTAATTACCTTTCCCATCATTGCAATAATGCACATTCTTTAGAATTCTGCATGTCTTAATGCTACCTTCCTAAATATTTTTAATTCAATAAAGGGCCATACTGGTTAAAAATTTGTATTCATCATCTGTTTCTGCCACATTTGCAACATTTTTATCACCTTGCAATATTAAAGCACAGCACAGATGGTACAATTAACATTTCTACAATGATTTCTGAATCTGAATTTTAGTGGTCATAGGATCTGTAGGGGTAAACCAGTGATCATTACTCTATAGAAATCAATGCAAATTATTGGACACAGTGCAGTTAGAAAGAAACTACTGCTGTTGTCTATTTCAAGTCAGCATTCATTTGTACAAACAGAACCATGTTATGTCACATGGATACAGTATTTAGGATTTGGGACTATAACAATTCATAAAAATATTTTATGAATTGTTATACTCTTTGGTATCATACCCAAGAAGGTACATTTAGATTTCCAAATCCTAAATGCTGTATCCATATTCAATATATAGAGATGGTACCTCCAGAGGGAATATCAACCCCAGATTTACCCTCCATATATGCTCTTTAACTTTATTTACCATGTTATGGCACATCAGCCCCGAAATTTAGATCAATGGAATCTTGTACAATAAATATATAACAAGTGGGCTACACTGTATTGCTGTCCATCTACATTATTTTAATAGTACATACGAAAGAGAACGTGCATATTGGCCAGCTGTGATATTTACGCTAACAATTTTCAAAGTGTCACAATTACGACAATAGGACTTTTTATAGTACAGATAGACATATTACATTTACTAACTTACTTGGAATAACGTTAAGCTGAGTGCCTCCTCCAAATACAAGTTTTCTAGCAGCACCAGTATTAACACACCAACTCAACCCTTTGCATTATCCTCTAGCTAGTGTCACAACTATGTAATGTCTCAATGACAAGTGAGAGATTGTAAGTCCACAAATCCATTTTGCTATCTTCTGAAATTTCCAGTTTGCTTTAAGTATTTTTGGCAAATCTTGTTTTATCTACTATGAAAAATTATATTTCTTGTTTACATTTTTTATAAATCAGCCCTAGTATATAATTTTGTATTGTTTGCCATGATGCACAATATGTAACCATGGAATCTCTTCAAGAGTTGGCCTCTGCAAATCTGATATATTAGTATTGTAACACTGCATAAACATATGAAAATGGAATACACAGTATGATTATTACTGCTTTTTGTGATGACATTGAATAACGTGGGGAAAAAAAAAATATACAAGACTTATTTACTTACTTGGAGCCACTGTTAGCTTTGTGCCACTGCCAAATATGAGTTTGTAGTTGCTTGTACTAGCCACAGTGTACTAATCCTTTGCAAAAATGTCTGTGTCTGATTACATGCAGGCATACTTTATTCATACTTTAGTTAGTTTATCATTTATTTCATCCTATGTAGCTTAATCTTGGGTAAAAATAATGTTCAACTCATTGGTTACACTTTTATCATTGTATTCTTAAAGTGTTCAAGCATTAAAAGCACAGTATTATCAGTTTAATATATTTTATTAATTTTAAAGTGTATATCACTGATAATCTAGGGACTAACCAGACTATCCAAGTTATTCAATAAGTCATTGCAAAGAGCAGCAATAATCAAAAAGGCACAATACTCATTAGCAACAGTCATATTAATGCGTTTCTGATTGTTTGCTATGGGCCACTGTAATTTGCAAATTGCTTTTTCCTTACTGCATACTTCTATAGTACATCACTATCCATCATTAGCCTACTGAAAATATATTTTTAAATGTGTTGTTGCATTTTTAACATCATCTTCATCATATTTTAAAAATGAATCAATTTTCAACAATTTATTGCATTTGTACACAGACACATATATTGAATGTAAGCGAGAAACCAGATCTTGGCGTGCTCTTTATATTGCGTTAGTATCTGCAGATAAACAAATGTGATTACTGAAACAGAGTAGATGTGAGCATTATTTTTAGTTCTAAGAACATAAATCAGTACACATCTCTTCCTTAAGTAATCGTCACCAATGTATATTATCAGAGAAAAAGTGTAATATGACCTTACTTGATATGATTTGAAGCTGTGTGCCTTGGCCAAAGATGAGTTTATATCCTGAGCCACTATATACACAGCAATTCACACCACAACAAGAACCAATATCCATACACATGGTATGCTAAACAGGTTGTTGTGCATGACTAAACAATGATCCTGTAAAACTACAATACAGAATTCACAGTATATGAACAAAGCACATGTTTATACTAGTTTAGCATAACTGAGTTTGTCTTTAACTCCAAGTAAGGATAAAAGGACATTTCTAAAAATGAAATCAAATAGAAAATAAGAGAATCAATATTTTTAAATCATCAAGGCAGCACAGATGCTCCCCTGCCCACCCTCTCACATACAGGAAAACTATATACAATGCAGGGGGCTTGTTCATAGTGAAAGAAAAAAAAAAGTATAAAACAGAGTATCTTGCATTGGAACTTTAACTTTTATAGGGAGAAATGAAAGTGGATAAATATATGGATGAACCAGAATACTTATTTATGAAGCATATAAATATTTGATCCTAAAATATAGTAAGAAAGTTAATACACATAATATACAGTCCATGGCACATCAGAGTAGTTTCCTAAAATAAAAACAACTAACATCATACAATACAAGATGTAAAATAAGTTATTTACAAATATACCTTCAGCAATAAAATATATGTTTATATGCCTGATATGCTCATACATGAAAAGTGACTTAAAAAAACAATAATAAATAAACTTACTGGATAAAACCTGTAGCTTTGTTTCCACTCCCAAACACAAGTTTAATGTTGTTGCTATTATCACAACAATACATACCACAACAAAAAGCTTACTCTTGTATGTATTGTAGTCAGTATCACTTTTCTATGACAATTTAAATATTGTGTAGTAACTGAGATAGCTATTATTTACTATGCTATTGCCTGGATAATATCAAATCATATTTGATAGGAATATGTATCACAACAGGATCAAATATTTTACAATATATTTTACATATTAAAAACTGGTGA